TTGAATACGATTGCGTATTAATTTGAATTTGGAACGCGATCCGAATTGTCTTTGGTCAATTTCTCGGGTGATATAGATACTGGCATGGGACGCTTAGATCAATATTTTTTTTATTAAATTATGATACTAATATTTTTAAAAAAGTATATTGTCTTTGGTCAATTTCTCGAGTGACATACAGGAATGGGGAAGTTATTGAATAAAAAATTATTTATTCAATTATTAAACACAAATAATAAATTCCAATTTTGTATTTGGTCTATATAATACAATATATAGGCATTGGGACCTAAAGATTTTTTTTATAAGAAAACAGTTTTTTTTAACAAATTATTCACAATGAAAATATATTTTGTAAAATAAATATATTTTTTTATCACATTATTTTGTTTGTATTAGGAATTAGAGAGTTTTGTCATTGTGTACAAACGTACAACATAACAATTTTTGTATTAAACTGTGCAAGCTCTTTTTTTTAGGTTGTTACATAGATTAGTTCTATTTGTGATGGTTATAATTGCCAAAGCTGTTATATAAAATATAAATAGATAGATAAAATTTTATTTTCGTTAAAAAATCGTGCCATTTGCTCTGTGTGTGAACCTACCCTTAGGTACTATGCTCCTGGACATTACGATTACTACACTTATTTGAAATTATATTAAGAAAGTTTGCAATACATCTAATATGAAAGTCCCGCATTCAATTTGTTGAATAATTATAAATCGTATATAAAATATAGGGTCTTAAGCATCCAATAATTTTATAAGACACCTAATCTAATAAGATTGTAATAAATATAATATAATGTTCTCCATAAAATAGCTGTATAAAAATACCGAATGGTTAAAATAATAATTACTGAACAATTCCATACTTGCTCATTTCATCTACATAAAAGTTTCAATTCATTCATAATTAATAATAAAATTAATATTTGTATCGAAAAATGTCGAACAGCACCGTGAATGGGCCGCCGCGGCCGTAGTACGTGAACAGCGACCTTGACATTGCACTCGAATAAAGTTATTACCGGCGCATTAACCCCGCGCTCCAATCAATAGCACATTACTTTTTTATTTCGTACAAAAATAACGTTCTTTTTTCAGTATTATGAGCCCCAATTATTGGCATTATAAGAGCAATGGTGACGGCGTACACTGTAGGTGTAGTACGCATCTACAATAATACATTTTAAATTAAGAACGCCTGTTTTATTTTAAATTAAGAACGCTTGTTTTATTTTAAATTAAGAACGCCCGTTTTGTTTTAAATTTTATTTACAAATACAAATTAATAATAATAATTATATTTTATTAAATAACTAGGTACATATTATACAAAATGATGCCACCACAGTTTAATACAAATACACACAGTAATCATACACATGAATACAACGTGTTAGTGCAATCGGTGTGATTTAGTATGAACCATTTTGATCGGTAATATTTTAATTAATAATGTGTGCTGTTTTTAAACTGAGACCATAAATATTTATTGTTTTTTTAAATAACTTGTGTTTATATTAAACAACTGATAGAAATATTTTTTTATTATATTATTCCTAATGAAATACACAATCTACATAGAAAACAATCGTAGTCATGAAAACAATAATTTTTCAGGAATCGAAATTACTATCACATAAGTAAATTATGGCGTATTATATATTAATTAAATTTATTTATTAATAAATACAAGATAATTTATTATAAGAGTCGGCATGGATTTAATAAATCACATGTTCTAAATGTTAAACTTAACGCGTAATTATTTTCCATTTATATATATAGTAAACTTTCAATTTGATTTAAAGTTCCCTTATCGTATAATCTCGGGGACAATTAAATGAAATTTACCAAATAAAGGAAATATATTTAGATTATAACCCGGTTTCATTGTTTCACTTAAACAATGACGATACTTGAATACGATCTGTCATTAATTTGAATTTGGAACCCGATTTCGACTATAAAGTAGTCTTTGGTCAATTTCTCAGGGTGATATAGATATGTATATCTATCTATATCAATATTTTATATATTAAATTATGATACTAATATTTTTAAAAAATGTATATTGTTTTGCCATTCAATTTATAAAAAAAGCTCAAGTGACATACAGTTCCTGATCATTGACGTCGCCGCATGATTGAATAAAAAATTATTTATTTAATTATTAAAGGATTTTTAAATAATAAATTCAAATTTTGTATTATTACAAGACGCCTCATTGCTTATATGGACATACAATATATAGGCATTGGGTACCTACTTAGATTTTTTTTATAAGAAATACAGTTTTTTTTAACAAATTATTTTGTCATTGATCATTTTCACCAACATACATATATAACAGATACAGGTATGAGGCATTTAGATCAAAATATATTTTGTACGAAATTTTAATACTATTTTTTTATCACATTATTTTGTTTGTATTAGGAATTAGAGAGTTTTGTCATTGTGTACAAACTTACAACAGAACAATACAATTTTTGTATTAAACTGTGCAATACCATTTTTTTAAAATTGTTACATAGATTAGTTCTATTTGTGATGGTTATAATTGCGCAGATTTTATATAAAATATAAATAGATAGATAAAATTTTATATATAACGTTAAAAAATCGTTTAAACGCCGATTTATATATCTCTGTGTGTGAACCTACCAGCTTAAAGGTACTTGTTGACTTATCGATTTATTAAATTATTTGAAATTATATTAAGAATAATAACAAATTTGCAATACAAATATCAGTATATTGCAATCTAAAATATCTCTAAACATTCAGCAATATAATGTATATATAATTTGAATTTTTTATCGTGCGAGATGATATAACACAAGATAAATGTTACATAAAAATAATAATGGTATTTTTATAATAAATCCAGAGCAATTTTATAAGACACCTAATCTAATAAGATTGTAATAAATATAATATAATGTTCTCCATAAAATAGCTGTATAAAAATACCATGCTACCATGTTTTTCAAATAATAAGGTTTACTGAACAATTCCATTTGTCTTGCTCATAAATTTATATATATATAAAAGTTTCAATTCATTAATAATTAATAATAAAATTAATATTTGTATCGAAAAATGTCACTGACAAATGTTTACAATGTCCGTAGCGTGAAAAAATAGCATAGGTCCGCCGACGACCGCTAGCGCAGTGAACAATTTACGACGCAATGGACATTTATACAACTTTAAATTATTATTATTGTTTATTTTTTTCTTAGAAACTTATATATTTTTTTTATATTTCTAATTTACAATATATTAACTTTATTATTTTTTTTTTATGCAAAAATAACGTTCTTTTTGAGAAAATTGAAATGATTATGGCAAAGTTTTGTTGGCGGGTTTAATTATGATCAATTTTTTAGATATTTAAGTTGAAAATAAAAAAAAGACGATGCTGCTCAATTTATAAAGTAATTATCAAGTTTTATCTACAATAATTTACATGTTTGTTTAAATTAAGAACGCTTGTCTTTATTTTTGAAATTAAGAACGCCCGTTTTGAAATTTTAAATGGAAAATTATTTTCAAAGATGGACTTTAAGCAAATTAATATATAATAATAATATATTTTATTGAACCAGAACCCCAAACACCCCGCTTTTATTAATGTACAGTCATTCTCAAACTCAAACTATTTTATACATTCTTTTTAAATACGCAGCATGTATTTCAGAGACTTTACCACTAATATCTAAACTAGGGTAGGGTAATACAGGGTCGTATTATATTCATAATAATAAACTCTTTATTGTGTACACAGAAGAAACAATAAGAAAAAAACAGATACTATTTTCATCCAGCGACAATTTTACCAAACAAACACCTTTACCTATAAAATTTAAAATATTGTAGAACAAGCCCAATAGATCTTTATAGGTCGCATTGCTACAAGTCTATACACAATCAATGGGCCAAACCAAAAAAAATAAACAAACTGATGGGTGGTGCAGTTGTTTTCTGCAACGCGTTACTTCTGGTGGTCGCGGGTTCGATTCTCGTAAGATACAAATATTTGTGCAATATTTTGGAGTATGATTATATGCATTACCAAAAATGTATTTATCTATTACTATTGTTTATTACCCGAAGTCCTTAATAAATGTTTTGCAACGTTTGGGACTATGTATAATAAAACCATCAATTCGTAAAAGGCGACCCGTTTGTCTGTTGACAGAAAAAAACACAATGGCCGCGGGAACTAATATAACATAACATTACAAAACACTCTTTTTAATACAAACAATCATCAGTCGTACGAAAGGCGCCGTGCTAAACTGCAAAATCACCCAGATTGTTAATTTCAAAATTGAGTATAAATTATATCTACACTAAATCGCGAAACAGTACTGTAAGCTCCCCACCAATCATAATCGATCTCTATTCGGTTTGTATTCGAATACGATCGACTAAATGTACCAATCGATTATTAACCACTACGATTAAGAAGATTAACACAGTGATCATTTACTTGCTAGTCACCGAGTACAAAAATATAAATATGCTACACGTATATTATTTGTTTATAACAAGGACAATACATAGATAATAATAAAATAAAAACCTTGGATTACTTATACAGCATTATCTTTTCCCAAACTAATCAGTGTTTCTATTATTGATACCTACTACATCACTAATAGACATAATTAATGAATACAAATGTTTCTAATGACCTGACGGATCAAACCCGCGACCATCAGTAAAACATACTGCTAAACCACTACACATTAATAATATTTAAAACAGGGACAAACAAAATACGCTTATAAAGTTTTTACTTACCGCAAAATAATAAAATCCCAAGTTCCTAAATAAACAATTATAAAAAAAACAACACTTATTAGCACCTATTCAGACTATAAATTCACTAATATCACAATGATTGCACAGAAAAAATGAATAACATTTAAATTTAGAACACTAAAACATGGTTTGTTTATCTGATTATTTTCCTTTCAGTTTCGAATTCCGAATTCAAATTTGGCGGCCGATCGCCGGAGTGGTAAAGACCCGGCCCGCTCGTGTGGCGGTCGACAAGGAACTCGGCGTGGCATCTTGAGGGGCGAAAAGACGTTACGTTGGACCCTTCAATCCCCCTTGGCTTGTTAGTTGAATGGTGATAACCGTGTGGTGCTTTGTAGTGAGTGAATAAAATTCACTCTACCTGGATGTATGTTTTTATTATAATTAGGAATAAGAAGTTATTGTAAACTAATGGTTACAAAGTATAAAGAAAACACATTTAATGTTACTTTAAAAATATTGTAACAAATACATTTATTATATAATAAAATAAAATAGAAATGTTTAATTTCAAGTATAAATACCATTTATGAATTTAGTAATAGGTGATTATTATAAATTTAATGCAATCGATATTTTTTTAATAATCACTAGGACTATATTTTAACAGAATTCACAATAAGCAATGTTAATTACATTAAAGTAATTTATTTTTTGGTATGGTAATACTAACTACTCGCCCCGGCTTCGCACGTACATGTATAGTATATATATATACCTCCCTCTTGAATCACTTTATCTATTTAAAAAAAACCGCTTCAAAATCATACATATAGGGACGGACAGACAGCGATAGCGACTTTGTTTTATACTACTATATGTATGAATACTAGTATATACTATAATAAATTCAACATCAGAATAAGTATATAAACTTAAAAGAATACTAACCTTTTTGGTTGTTGTGAAAAAGGCGACGGTCATAATCGTGTTCTTCTGATATCAACTCCAACCAGTTAAGGTGCCAAGCCACATGTTTAGTCGATGGTGTTGTAAATTAACTTTTATGACCTATACAATAAAGTTCATATGCTTAAGCCAAGTAGTTATAAAAAGGTTTATTTCGTAGGGTGCTAGCTTTCTTTGCGATCACTAATATTGTTCGTAAACATAAAGACGATTATTTGTACAGGGCTGCATTGAGAGTTGATATATTAAAATATTTAATAATATTATGTAATATTATGTTATCTGTGTATCTGTGTATAATATTAAGAAAAGGAATAAGAGTTGAGATTCTTGTCAGTTTTTCTTAGCTCGAAAGCGCTCGGAACTGACGGTAGATTTGACATATCATAAGTCTGTAATAGACCTATACGAATAAAGATATTTTATATTGATTGATTTGATGTCATGTTAATTGTCCACTTAATATTGGAGAAATAACATATACTAAATGTAGTACTTGAAAATTATACCTACTTATGAAATAGTGAACAAGAACAACTCACTATTCTGACCACCAAATTCCGACACCAAAAGAGGAGTGTTATAAGTTTTACGTATCTATATATCTGTGTATATGCGGTTTTATTTCTTTGAAAGTGGATGTTGTTGAAAAGTTTATGCAATAATCCTAAATCCTCTATTATTAAAAAAATCTCAAAAAAGTTGATATGGATTTCTAACTTAATACAGAAATAGAAATATTCTTTATTCAAATAAACTTAATAAAACTTTTAAACACTTTTTCATTCTACCACTCGTTCAGAAAGCAAACAAAATACATAAAATATTTATATTAAATACGTCCCTGGGTTAGGAAGTATTGCACGGTGACTTATTTTAACGGTCATACCAGGTTGCGGCATAAGACAAACTGCGGCCCGCAAATAATTATACCTATTTTTTAATATGTAATACATTGTACATACTTGGAAATAAATAAGAAAAGAAATTACGTTATCCGTACTAATACTTATTTAATATATAAAGTGTCTGTCAGTCTATTTGTTTGTTCCCTTTTCACGACTAAATGGCTAAATGAATCTTAATGAAATTTTATGTGAATATAATCTACATTATGAAGTTCTTTATATAAAAAAACTAAAAATAGAAGTGATGGTTAATCGCTATTATATTTTCTTATCGCACTAACCATCGGTAACAGTTTAATTATTTAAAAAATATATAATTTTGGTCTTGTACAACTGACTCTATATTATTTATTTCATTTATGTTGTACTAAATTATATATATATATTTTTTAATATATATATTTCGTGCTCCTGGTAGGAAAGTAAATTTGGTTAAATATAAGATAAATCTACCCCTTGTTTTTAAATCAATTGGGCAAATTTATGTACCTGCCTATTTATTAAACTAAATTGTTTCTTTTATTATTTTACAGTGTAGAAATGTCACTATTCACATTTAAGAATACATTTACATATTATTAAAGATACATTATTGTCAAAATAATTAGATACTTGTTACCAAAAGTGTGTCTAGTCTAGTGTATTAATAAATTGTTAGTTACCGACCCCGAGTTTACCTTTACTGAATATTGTTGAAATGTTGAATGAAGGCGTAGAGAACGTTATGGCACGAGCCTTCGAAATTTAAAAACGCGCGCTGGAACGAGACAAATGTTTGTAACGTATTTTTGTGTTTTATTCGGTACAATATTGTTTTTTAATAATATTGATTTAGTAAACAGGATTTGGAAGAATGAAGTTAGATCTAATATTTTGATTGTTATTTTGTATTATACTTTTTTTATTTACATCCCTTTTCGCATTAAAAAGTAGTCTATGTTCCTTAACGGAGTCTAGACTATTTGTGTACCAAATTACATTTAAATCGGTTCAGTAGTTTTGGCGTGAAAGTGCGACAGACAAACAGAGTCACTTTCTTTATTTTCTTGATTTTATTTAGAAAATTATTATGATCTTTCTTTTGTTCTCCATTTACTGTAGGTAAGATTAACTAGTTGTCACACACGATTTCGTCGGCTTATTATGAGATAAAAATTAGCCTATATCGGATCTTGTGGTAGGATCATGAATCTGTCTTTCCGTTTTTCATTTTCGTTTGGGTACATTATTATTTATATGAGACATACGATAAGAACTCTTTCGACTTGACTGCTCATTTTCAAACATAACCGACACCTGGACTTTAACATATGCAGGCATAATGCACGTCAAGACTCGCGCTTGGCACACGAACGGAAGTGTCTAATTTCCATAAACGTGGCACTCATTTAATAATTCACGCTATACAAATATAATCCTTATTAGTATAACCATAAAGTATATATTAGATTTATAGTTTAATTTTTTTGTTATTAAAATTAGACCATATTGCAAGAGCATAAAGTAAATTGTTGTCTTTGGCCGCGTGTCCAGCACGCGCCGTCATAGTCTACGGTTACAAGTTACAAGAAAGCAGGATGCGTCTTAAGTCGAGGGTGACAACCCTATTTTTAAGACGTTTGAAAATAATAAGTTACAAAGTACAATTATTATTATTATAAGTAATAATAATAATAATTGTACTTAACCTAACCTAACTGATGTTTAAAATAGAAGAATGAATATAACTCTTATGCAAACTCATTTAATGATCAGTTAAGTAACTCATTTCAAACAGCATTCTTAAATATTTTCGCGCCAGTTTCATAATTACATATGTACTTATCTATATACAATAATTATATTTAAGTATATTTAAGTTAGTTTAAATAATTATATTTATTTCCTTCCCAAACTTCTAAATATGGGTATACATAAGTAAAAATCCCATGAAAACTTCAGACTGTCAACTGTCAAAAAATTTGACGTCTATCATCTTAGCAAAAACTGTGGTTAGAAATATGGCCTTGTTTTTAAAAAGAAAATGAAACTGGCCGGTTTCACCGTATTCAAAAATGGAAATGGGGTAAGTTAAGAATTTCCCTGCTTTTCTTTTTAATATAAATCTTGCTCTTGATATATTTTATGTATATCTGAAAACTGTAATAAAATGAGTAGTTTAAAATATCTAATCGAACATACAGTGGGAGCGACTTTGTTTTATATATATATATGTAAATATATACACCAAATGACGCGACTCGACACTCAAATAAAAATGTTTGATACAGTCCACACGGCCGACTTGTTTTCAATCTGAAGCAATTCCGGCTGACAACAAAAGTACTATGAGCATTATTACGACTCGCACAGTGACTGAAATTCGACCATAACCATAATTAATTTAAAGTATAAGTTTGAATATTATTAAAGTTCTAATGTTAAAGACTTGCTTCAGTATATTACTTTGATAACAGCACAGAAACAAACCTCGATTCGCTGATTTGACAAACATTGACTTTGACGTTTTGTTATCAGTCATCTATACGTATGAATAAAATTGGAGTGTCTGTTTGTAATATTGAAATAACCGTTTTTTACTACATGCATATGAATATAAATACGGTACATACATCAAAATAACACATTTTCTACAATTTTTGTCTATCTGTCTGTTCCGGCTAATCTATGAAATGGCTGGACCGATTTTGACGGGACTTTTTTTGACAGGTGGCTAATATAATAATGTAAAATAAAAGTACTGTATTTAATGTTTTATTTATTGATTTACCCAATGTCTTTTTATGTGCATAATTTAAAAAAAACGTTACCATTCTGCACTTCTATTCTACTTATATGAATTATAAGTGTGCGAAATTTCATATTCTTCCATCCGCACAATTTTCTTAAAAAGGGGTACAAAATTTATACTTCAGTAATTAGTAGTCATTGCTTTTCAATTGAAATTGGTAATTACCCGAAATAACTATCCGAACTGGACGGTAGGGATCCTGATAAAAGATATGACCTCTACAATAAGCCGAAAGGTCCTATGTGAATAAATGATTTTGATTTTGTATTCGTATTGTTGTCAATACAAACAGTTAACAATTAATCAAACACTGCTCTGTTGGTCGTAACTTGAGCGAGTTTAGTTAGTTAAGAACTTAAACTGTCTTCAATTACTCTCAGATTTGCCGCAGATTTGCTAAAGTTAGCAATACAGGCAGTATTGCTAACTTTAGCAATCGATTCAATTCCAGTATCAAGATCTAATACTAACTTCAGCATCCCAGTTCTAATTGGTACTGTTTTGTCATCTGCAAACGGACAGATCCTTCTAATATTATAAACCTGACAGTTTCTAAGAAAGTATTAGTGTTTGTTGGTCCTTATAAAGTTGCTGAAGTAATTTTGATGGAACTTTTTATTTAGTCTAAACTCAGACTTTGTAAAATGACACTTGATGCGGGTATTTAAGTATCGTCTATTTCAGCCAAGCAGCTTCAATTTAAAAGCTGTGTCGGTTTTTGGGTGAATTTTTTTTTATTGGGTTGTTTGGGCTATTGTCAGGTGACTGTAGCACCTGTAGCACTGCAACCTACATAGATCTAATGTGCTCGTCCTTTTTCAGAGTTCGCTACTTAGACCCGTCAGGGACAAGATGGATGGATGAGATTAGGTAGTGAAATTATAGGATAAGCGGTATGACATCTTAATCATTGGGAAGTGCAAACGCATGAGTCACCTGATAACGTGAATATCGTAGTGCTTTTAATGTTTATAGATCCTTGTTTATCATAAGGTGTGGCGTCGGCTTGTCTGCTGTTATAATTTCACAAAATGAATAAATAAATAACCCTTACAATTAACACAGCGCCTTCTAGTCCCTCGCTAAGCAGAGCTTGTGTTA